TTTTGTAGGTGATGATGATATCGCTGATGCTAATGATGGAAACATGGAAAGCCAAAATGAAGCACCTGAAACAGATGTTGTATCATTAGTAAAGAAAATAGATTCAATTGATCAGAATGCCAGCAATGTGGACAGCCATCCTAGACTTGTGTCCCAAGGGGGAATTAATCTCCAGAATGGCATTGGAGTTTCAGGCCATGAAAATCAGAGTGGTACATTGGAAGATAAAATTGTGGAATTTAAGAAGTCTTCCAAGAAAATAAAGAAGTCTAAAAGACGAAGGATCCGGTTGGAAGGACAGAAGCAGTGGAAGCAGTTGATGATAGAGGTCCTGCAAGTGATATATCTCCTGCAGAGTGTCCTACCTCTGTGAATGGTGACCATTTGAGTGATAATGCTGAGCAAAATGGCACAACTGATGGAAAAGAGGAATCAAAAATGAAAAATTCGAACTGTTTGCCTTCGGTTAGAGTTATGACAGCTGATGATGTGATTCGAGATGTGCTGGAGCCCTTGCAGCAAAGCAACAATGGTCCTGAAAATGCAGAAAATATGGACAAGAAATCAAGGAAGAAAACTAAGAAGAAAAGTTCTACTGTGGTGGGACCCCCGGAATTGCAAGGAAGAGATGATGTTGGTCACCGGGATCCAACAGTCCTGGCTGATGATGTGAGTGAGGTGAGTGCATCATCTAAATCTGCAAAGAAGACTGTGAAGGTGAATGCAAGTTCAGCAGTGTAACTGAATGAATCAGATTTGGGATATAAGGATAATACAGGGGTTGGAATTAGCCCTGTCCACGCACAGCTTGCCTCATCCCAAAATACACTTAAATCCAATCATGATGGAAAGCCAATTCAAGATGTCATCGATGTAGATCACCCTAAAAGCGTCTGTGTAAATAATGCTAATTACAGCTTAGAAGTTCCTGGTGAAAGTGAAAGTGTCAAAAGCCAACAACAGCATGAAGTTGTTGATTCTGGTGAGACACTCATTGATAAGGTGACTGAGAAAAAAGCAGTGGAAACCGAGGTGAAAGGAAAAAAGAAGAAGAAGCCTGAAGTACAGTCAGGTGGATCCAGACCTGATTTACCATCTTCAGAGATGTTAAATGGGAATCAACATAAGCAAGCAAAACCTCAAGCTGCCAAATCTAGCTCCATTCAACCTCAAAGATCATCATCGAAGATTGAATCACTTAACTCCAATGTTCAATCAAGTAGACCAATTTCGACCATTTCTGAAAGTGTGGCAAGAGAACCTCTGCAATCTAATAAATCTGACAAAATCAATTCCATTCCTAAAGATGCTCAAAGGCCCATTGGCATCAATTCTTCAAGGGCGCATATCAATTTAGAGAAAAACATTGCTCGTTCTGTATCAAGCTCTGCCTTGGAAAGATAAAAAAACACCATTAATCTAAATAAAGTTAATCAGCATCGATCTCATCTGGATATTGCAAAAGCTACTGGAAGTAATCGTGGGAAAGTTGTGAACAGCTTGGCAAATAAGAAGAGTTTACTGGCTACAGCAGGTACAATATTTAAGCACAGTGATAAGGAGAGCTCTGATGATGAAGATGGAGCAGACAACTCAGATACCAACACCAAAACTCCATCAGATAGTTTATCATCATCTGACTATTCAGACGATGGTCAGGTGAACAATAGTTCATCACCAAATGGTAATTCATTTTTTTTATCACTGATTTATTAGATCTGAACAAAGTCGATTATATCATGACTGTTAGTTTGCAGAATGCATTTTATTTCATTGTGCCTTGACAATTTTTCAATAAAATGAACAAGTGTGTCAAATTTTATCTTTTTCTTTCAGAATTCTACTATCTCTTGCTTTTCATTTTTGTTGTATTCATGCCCTTTATGAGTAGTCACCTACTTCCAATCCTTCCCCATCCACCAAACCCCTCTCAATGCCCCTGATTCTTTGAATCATTTTATTCATGTTAATTTGTTTTTTCTTTTTCTAAATATTTGTGTAACCAGTATTGTTTGTATGCATTATATACAGGTTATTTTTCCTCTTTCCACATGTAGTTTTCATATATAACCAAAATTTAAGGTACAACATAATTAGCATTATTCTTGTACTTTTGTTGCATCATTTTTATTAATTTCAAATCATGATCCAGGTTACATAGATTATAGTTTCTTATGTTTATTTTGAATTTTTTATAACTTAGAACGGGAAGAAGCTGGTGGAAGAAACAGACAAAAACCCAGGTAAGTTGGATGAACAATGATAAACACTTTCCTTTGTTTTAAGATATAGATCTTGCATATTTGTATTTTACTGCTATTGTTAGTAAATTATATGTATGGTTTACAAACTCCTTGCTAGGTTTGAAGCTATATATGATACACTTTGATGTTAATCAATTTACAGATCAATAGTTTTTCTCATGCAACTTAAACTTGCTAAGTGAAGTTTGGCCTTATGGTGAAAGCTAGTTTGTTATATCATCCTTTTCTCCTCAAAATTGAGCTTGATAATGAAAATTATTGATGCGTGCTTGTTCTCTTTGCATTTTACATTGGTTTCGAATTCTTGTGGTAGCTAGGGCAAAGATCTTCTGCAATGCATATCCACATATGAAAATGCAGGAAAGAATTCTTCAAATTTGTTTTGGCAGCATTTCAGTTCTTTGTTCATGTGATGACACTGACAAAAATTGAAGTTAAGAAAATTCCTTTTTGATCCAATAATTTCCCTATGTAATGTCATTCATGCCTTTTTTTCACCTAAAGTCTTCCAAATGCCATGGTTGAGCCTAGAATTTATTCGAAGTTCTTATTTCAACCTCAAAAACAGTCTAGCACTTTATCATAGTAGAAGAATGGAAAAAGGGAATATGGTAGTCCCACATTTAGAAAAGCTTTAGGCCCAGTGGTGGATGCAAATGCAGTCCATTCTTAAATGAATTTTCCTTGAGCAATAAGTGGACACCCCCAGATTAAAGTAAAAAAAAAAAAAACCTTGGATCCATCACTCTCTAGGCCTAGGTTTTATTTCAAACTTCACCATGCATTCTGAATCCGATATTCTTTTCTCATCTTTAATCGCTTCTTTTACTTGAACAGATCTTCTAGCCCAAAGAGCATGTCCTTGCATGCAATCCTTCGGAATTCAAGCAGTTACAAGAAGGCCAAACTAACAGCTTCTCAAGACCTTGATAGCCAGCCTGATGAATTTGTTCCAGATAGTCAGGCAACATAGTCAAATGTTTTTTCTCCTTGTTTATATTTTTCATCAGTTATGGGGGGATTTTTGTTCTCACTTCACCACGAAGTAGGGGTCATTCTTGATCTCTTTCCGATATCATTATCAAGTACTGTTGCCATTCCCCATCAACATGTTTTGTAGTTTTATATTACCATACATTATTGGCATGCAAAGTTTCTTTTTTGTACGACAGTAGAAGCTTCCTGTTTCATTTGAACTAAAGTGTGTTGATGAATTTACTACTTTCCTTCCTGTCTACCCCTACCTAACCTTGTTCCTGTTAAAGGCATTTAGGCAGTAACTACTGAGGTTCATTCTCTACTGGTTGAAATACAAAGGACAGAATTTTTAGTTTGAAGTTGGAACTGCAACAGTTGAAAGGACAAAGTTGGCGAGCCTAGGCTATGAATATTTTGATTAAATTTGATCACAAAATTAATATAAATGTAAAACAAATAAAATTAGATTAAAAATCTCAATCCCATTGAAATTATTTTAATTGTAGTTTAGTTCAAAACATTTTGTTATCAATTTATGAGTTGATTCTTTCTTTCCACAAATAATACAAAAATCATGGGACCAAAATTAACACTTGATTCTCTCTTGTTCGGAGAACAAACTGAGCCGCACATAGCATCTCCTCCTTCAATTAATAAAAGAATAATCATGAATAGTACAGTAGGGAATGATAAAATAAAATGAAAATAATTGTAAGTGTTTTTCTTTTGTCTGCTAAAGTCGTAGCCACTTTCATTCTATTTCTACCTCTCTGTCTGGCTTCTTTTTTATTTTATTTTATTTTTTTTTTGAGATAGACGTTGAGGTATTCCTTGATTCGCTTGCTTTGCGTTAATTTTACTTAATAATAATAAAAATAATAAAGATTTTTATGAGTTGGTAATATCATTCTTAAGGACCCCACTGGGATATGCATCCCAGTCACAGGCCAGCTGCTAATTGTCCCTTTTTTTTTTTTCTTCTCCTTCATCAGTGGTAAATCTTTCCCACATTTTGATTGACCAAATTCAAGTGTTATTTGGAGTCTATCGCACCAAGTCTATGTTTTTGAGAGGTTTTTTTCTTAATTGCATCATGGGATGCATGTGAGTAGAACACTAATGATTTTGGGGGCAAAAATCTCGTTACTCCTTCAATTTTTAATTGAGAGAAAAATGATTCGATGGATGACTTTTGGAGTTTGACTCTTTTAATTTGAAATTGAAAATGGAAAACATTTTTCCAATTACAACAATGACACATAATAAATTTTACCATTATCCTTTATATTTGCATCAAAATATATATATTATTATTATCATTAAATTTAATTCAATTATTATATATTTTATTTTATTATTATAATAATTAATTTCTTCGATACTATTATTTTTAATTTAATCAAAATCAATTTCGCTATCTAAGTCGGCCCTCAATGAGCAAAAATGACAATTTGGATTTGCTTTTTACAATAGTGGTCGGCGGTCTTTGATGGATGCATCTAACCAATATTCATACTCTTGCCTTCTCATGCTTCACAGTCGTAGATACCCTTCACGACTTTTAACAATCGAACTTCTGTTTTTACTACATACGGGAAGTGCAAGAACGGTGTGAGCTATCTTAATTTAGAAATTTTTTTTTAAAAAAAATTAATTAATAATTTAAAAATAAAATAAAAATAGTATATATATATATATATATAGGTTTAAAACTAAAATAGTTTAATATGTTAAATTGCAAAGATTTAATCAAAATAAATAAAAGAAGAAGATGAATTAATCTCATTGGATGAACTTCTTCGGCTATCAAAAAATTTTCAAAGAAACCAATTACATGCAGAGCCCAATTGACATGATCGATGGACGGCTGCCAATAATAATAATCCAAAAATTAAGCAGCAAATTTATGTATTATAAACGTGATAAACGTCAATGATAGGGAGAACAAAAAAATCAGGACCGTTGGATCATATTCTTCTTGCGAAAAACAACTTCGGTGTCCAATCCGAACCCGTCAACTTTGCGGACACGAACCAGCTGGGATCTCTGGAACAACTTAACCAACGGTTTAACGCTGTACAAATCGTTGGCCGAGTACTTGTCCGTCCGTTTCGAAAACGCCAAGTGTAAAACGCAGACCCCGTCGGGCTTCAGGGTTCGCTCGATTTCGGCAACGAACTTCTCCGGATAGAGCGCGTGGTCGAACACGTTGGAGAACTCGAAATCGAAAGTCTCGTTATCGAAAGGTTGGTTATGGAAGTCACCTTTTAAGACGAGAGGTGGGCAAGGAACGAGGTCGATGCCGATGGAGTCGGACACGCCGACGCGTTTGAGAGCCTCCACCTCTTGGCCGACGCGGGCACCGATGCAGAGAGATTTTGAGGAGTTGGTGAGCAGGTTTTGAAGCTTCAGTTCCTGAAAAAATCTGGAGAAGACTTGGATTTTACGGTCCCAGTCACGGGTAGTCCATATTTTCCTTAGTTTTGGGTTGAGGGTTTTGTTGAGTTGGCGTTGGATGTAGGAGTCGTAGGAGGTGTAGCCAGGTCGGATTTTGAGATCTTCGGAGGAAGAAGAAGGATGGTTGGTGGTGGTGAGAAGGGTTGCGAAGCGGCGAGGCTGGAGAGAAAAGAAGAGGAATAGGAGGAGGAGAGAGAGGGAGAGAGAGAAGAGAAAGTGTTTTATTATAGGAGGTTTAGTTTTAGCGGTTTTCATGGCTGCATGAACCCCCCCAAAAAAAAGGTTTACACAAATTTGACATTCGTTATAAAAACTTCAAAAAAAAAGAGGCCTGTACTTTGTTTTCGGTGATGCCAGCCTCAATCTTGAGAGAGAAAGACAGGGGATGGACCAATGAAGGCAAAATGGATTAAAAGGAAGGATGAAGGAGAAAAACTAAAACAAGGGCAAATTTTGGAGAAAGAAATGATTTCCCTGGTGGACAATGAGGAGACGACACGTGACTGGCAGTAGGCATACACAGTCAAAGTGGCGGCCTTTTTACGGGATATAACCTATAATTATTCTAATATAATTATTTTATCATAATTTAAAATAATAAAATATTTATTAAAATTTTATATGAAATTTATATTTATAAATTATGGACATTTATATATTTTCATTATAATTAAATAATTATAAGATTATAATAAAAAGAAATTTTTATTTTTGTAACATTGTTTTTCTTTTATATAAGCAAATTTTTTATTTTATTTTTAGAATGCTTCCAAAAAAGATGGATGCTTCCAAAATTTTAATTATAATGATTTATTACTAAAATTAATTAAACTTAAAAAAGTTTGACTAAAAAAAAAAAAAACTCGAATACTAATTATGAGACACAAAGATTACTATATAAAATAATTGGGGCAGGAATTTTTTTTTCTAAAAAGTAATATGGCCAATATTTATTTATTTTTTTAATAATATGATCATAATATTTTTTGAATTTTGTGCAATCTAATCTTTTATTTGAACAATCTAACATAAATTTTTTTACATCAATTTGATGTATTCAAAATTAAAAATATTTTTTTATTTTACTGTTTGGGTTTAAATTTATTAAGAGAATGTTAAAATGTAATTTTTTATAAATTTGTTAGACCTAATATTTTAAATTGATTTGAAAAAGAAATGTATTAAATAAATTAAAAAACCTTATGATGCTAAATCAAAAATTAAAAATAATATCAACGTCTTTAAGTGATAAAAAATTTAATTTTTTTAAAATAAAATTTTAATTTTAAATCTTATAAATAAAAAAATAAATATAAAAAAATTTATTTTTTTATGGGATTCAAATCAATTTAATTTGAAAATAATTGGAACTTAAATAATTATTATATATTAAAAAATCTAAAAAAAAAAAAGGAATTAAATTAAGCAGTCTCCAATAGTGGGTGAGAAATAGTCAAAAGCTGCTTCTATATTTTATTATTTTACATGAAAAAAAGTGGCTTGTTGGGGACCGTAGGGAAGATCGGGTTCATGTAGCATAAGCTGGATAAAACGTGCCCCAGACTGGCGGGGTTCACAATTCATTATTCCTGTTTCCACGCATATATTCTCATTCTTTTCTTTACACCCAAGCAATACAACTTGATGCAATTTGGACTATTACGGCTACGGGACCCATTTATGCAATTTGACATTGATTATCCGCTGAAATTGCACGCCAATATTTAAATCAATAATTAGTATGTGCATCGTTTTTATTTTTATTTGATAAGTTAAGAGCCACCAAACAAGTTAATTTCCAATTTTACTATTCATTAATGTTTCTTTTGTATTTATATATAATATATGTTATTCTAATTAAAAGAACAATTATTTGCTGCTAATTTGGTAATTATTTTCCTTCTTTATAAGTTAGTTATAACTTGAAAATCAATGTCAACCTCTCATTCCATTCTCAAGATTTGAATTTAAACCTTCAAATAATTAAAATCTCATTAAAAACATAAAGGATATATATTATGTTTAATTAATGAATTTTAAAATATTATTCATCACTAGATTATAACTCTTACGATGTATGAAATAATTTTATTTATTTAATATGAATATATATAAATTAGTTCATTTTCAAAATTATATTTAATTTTTTAAAACTCATAATGTATACAAAATTTATATATATTGACTTGTCATTAAAAAATAAATTTTTTGAAAACAACAAAAAAATTATGTTTTTTCTTTGGATATTTTTGTTTACAATAATATTTATATATTTGTAAAATTATATCAAATATAAATAAATTATCTTTTTTTTTAAATAAAAATATGTATTATTGAATGATAAATTAAATAATAAAAAAAGATTAACACACTTTCACTTTAGTAATCTTAACTAAATTATTATACAAAATATGAAAAATGTTAGAAAATATGTGAAAAAAGAAAATATAAATTGAAAAAATTATTTTTCATAAGAATAAAATTGTAATAATAATAAAATATATATTTAAAAATTTTATAAACAAAAAAAATTGCAATAGTAATAAAATATACATTAAAAAAGTTACTAAAAAAATTGATATATAACATGTTATATTTGTAGTTTTAAATTTGTAGAAGAATTTTTTAGTGGTAATTAGAATTAAATAGATAATTTTTAAAATTTAAAATGGATATCATAACGTATAGATCCATAGACGTGTCGTTAGACATGGATTAGAGAAGTCACTACCAATTTTTTTTGTTTAAGTGTGATTGGTCACCTAATTGAATCTATCATATTTAAAGAGAAGTCTCAAGATCGATTTAGGTATCTTTAAATAATTCTAATATACGAAATCAGAATTTAGATTCGAGAGTACGGTTATGTGTAAGAAAGATTATAGCATCCCCACAATACTTATATAAAGGATAATACCAGTTTGATTTTAGATTATCTAAGCCTTGATTATATTTATGATTTGTCAGATAATTTAATATTAAAAATGTATCTTAAAATTATCTCAATAATTTGGTAACAATTTAAGATAATTTTCTCACCTCATTAATATTTATAAAGATTAGTGTCCTTTTTGAAAAGGCTCTGTTATCGGATTTATTAAATGATTTCATTCTAAAAAAATTAATAAAGTCTTTAAATAGTTTGGTAGGACTTAATTTGGGAAGCAATCATCCAATAGTTTAGAAAATGAAACTTATTTTTTAATTTTTTTATTTTTTGAAAAGAACAGATTTATGAAATTTTTCAATAGTTTGTTGGATTCTATTTTAAAAGATTTTTATTTGAAAAGATTTTTTTATTTTTTATTGAAAAGTTTTTTTTTATAAATATATATTTTTTGAAAAGATTTTTTTATCCAATTTTTTCTGTTTTTTCTAAAAGAAAATATTTTTTATTATTTATTATTGAATAAAAAATATATAAATCAGTAAAATTATAAAACTAAAAAAAATAATAAGAAAAAAATAAAATAAAATGAAATATGAAAATAATATGAAAAAAAAAAGGAAACCTTGCGATTCAAATCAAGTTGAAGCGAGTCAGCGTGCGGATCCTAAGTCGCCCAAAATGATGCCATGTAGAGGCAATATATAAGTAAGATTCGACACCTTTATGCTCAAAAGCCTCTTCTCCTTTATCTTTCTAGTCAATTTCTCTCTGTCTTCTCTCTAAAATCCAACCAAGAACACCATCGAAAAGTGAGTAACCTGTCCGTTTCTAAAAAGTCACCAAAAAGTTAATGTGAAATTGGAAAATCCGTTGGTTTCTGAAAAAGCCACCAGAATCTAACTAGAAAATTGAACATTGCCAGAAAATTTTACTGAAAAATTCAATTATTATTTTCAAACCAAAAAAATCCAAAAAAAAATCCAAAATAACCAAAAAAAGTCCAAAAAATCCTCAAACCTTCCGAGAAAGCTTTCAAATCTCTCTTGAAACCTTATGAAACCTTAAAGTTAACTCTAGAAACCTAAATTCAAGCCCGAAACCATAAATTATACCCCAAATCCCAATACTAAAATTTTAGAAATTTCTATTGCCAAAATTTTTTTAGATTGTTTTCTCTAAAAATTTTTGTTTGTGTTCATCCTTTGTAGAGCTAGTTCAATTTATTGGCAGCTCTAAAAACAATTTTAAGAAACAAACAAAATTAATCTCGGGCTTGAATCCTGTGATTGAATTTTGTTCAGTGTGATTTTAGGTCATAAGATTTCAGCAATACAATTTTGCATTAAAACTTGGATTATGATTCTGATTTCGATTTTCCTTTGCTCACGTGCAAATTTGAGCAAAAAAAAAGTAGAAAAGAAAAATGGCAATAAAAAATAAAAGCAATAATAATAATAATAATAATATAGTATAATACTATATAATAATACAAGTAAAACAATCCAATTGACTCCGAGTCATAGTCCAATTGATTTTAGATCATAGTCCGATTTATCTTGGATACATATGAGTGTTTACAATGGATATAATAAGTGATAAAAGATAATATTAATTTTTTTTTGCATTTATTTGAAATATAAATATAATACATAGAGTTCAAATTAATATAATCATTTTGATAATTTTATTATTTAAAGATTTAAGATGAAAATTTTTAAAATTTTTAAAATCTTACATAAAATTGCTTAAATTTTTAATATCTTACATAAATTTTTTTAAAAAATAATTTTTAAATCAAAATTTTTAAATCAAGATTAAAAACATTATTTAAGGATTTGGATAAACTTAATCTTTATAATTTTTAAACATGTTTGAAAGACTTTGATAATTAAATAATTTTTTAAATAAGGGTATTTGGTAAACAATTAAAATTATTTATTAAAAAATAAAGTCCATATTTTATATTTTTAATTTTAAAATATATATCTCTAAATTGATTTTATTTTTAATTATAATTTGAATAATTTTGATATTTGAATAAATTTAAAATTATTTAATTTGTAATTAAAAAAACTATCTTATTCTTTTAAGAAACTATTCGATTTGTCATTTAAGAGAATTATCCATATAAACGTCTATGTAACAAACTTATTTATATATGTTATTATATAATATATATTAGATTATTTATTTAATGTAATAAATAAACAGAAATTAATTTATTTATGAGCTATTTCTCGAATATCCTTTTCTCAATTATAGAATAAAAAAAAAGCTGATTAAGTTGTATGGTAAAATGCTTCTTTTGTTTATTTGGATTAACTTAATGTTAAATTAAGTAGAAGATTTTAAACTTTTTCTTAGGAAAGACATTCCCACCAAAGTAGGAAGTAGTATTTTATATAACTTCGTGCCTGTAATATTACAGTTCCATGTTCTCAATGTTATCAGACAAAACTAATCAAAGGGGTGGATCTCAATACTAATAATTAATTTAATTAAGTATTTCCTAATTTCCTATGTAATTTTTTTTTGATCGCACAATCCCTATGTAATTAAGTACTCCATATCCATATAACTTCGGCGTGCAACTTTTTCTAGTCAAGGTTCAAGTGAGAACTTTCCTTTCTCTTCCAAGATTGTTTATTTAAGGTTTTTTTTTTTTTTCAAGTGTTAAATTTTAAATTTTAATCATTAAAATTAAATTTTTATTTGATAAAAAATGAAATGGGATTTTTATATTTTTTATTTTTTAATCATTAAAATTAAATTATATTTTTTATTTTGGAATTTTTATACTTTCAATTTATGAAATTACAAATCAAATAAAAATTTTAACATTAAATAAATAAATTTAATAAAAAATAAAAGAGAAAAAATACAAATATTTAATGATAAAAACAAAAATTTGAATTTACAAAAATTTATGTAAATTTTTAATGAATTAAATTAAATATTATAATAAATATAAAATTTCTGTACATTTGCGCGAATAACAAACTAGTGAATATATATTGCTCTATCCCCAATCCCGGTCATTATGTAAGAATTAAGATAAGCAGTGATACAAATCACTGCAATTAATTTTTAATCTTCCACCAAAAATAAAAAAATGATATTATAAAAATGGCTAGGCAGCATCATATCCTTCACTTTGTCTTAGTGGTAGTGCAGTTTACTATTTAATTTGAAAAATTAACAGCATCTGCAACTCTCTCATCTCAGATACATTTTCTTTTAACAGCTTGTGACCATGCAGCTTTCTTTTGAACCGGGGATTGAGGGTTCTTAGCCATTCTCATGACACTTCTTCAAGCATTAATAGCATATTTAAAACTTTTTTTAATACATTAACTTACAATTGAGGAACCCCATTCTTTCACTTTGAATTACACTTCATGCCAGGGAAAAGAAAATTTGTTTTAAGAGAAAGTTTCATTGATATAAGGTGCAGTTACAGGTAATTTACATGCCATCACACACAACAAAATCCATATCTCACTGAGACCTCATCCTGTTGAGCTGGTTCAAAGCCGGTTGCAGA